CCGCCCTCCCCTGCACGCCGTGCCCCTTCCCAGTGCATGTTGAAATTCACTCCTAGCTTTCGCCTGTGAAGAGTTGTTAGAGTGGCCCGCCGTCAGCTGGCTTTCGTGTCTTTTGAAACAAACGTATTTCCTCTTTTGCTCTTTTCAACTGCGCTATGCAGGAGGAGGCAAAGAATAAAAGTCTTTGGCCGCAACCGAAACCCGATCAGCCCGCAGGTCTGGTCACTGCCTATGGCCCTGGTCTGGAGAAGGCCATGGCCACAGTACCAGCCGAATTTACAATTGATAGCACCAAGACCGTACCCGGTAAGCTGGGCGTCGTGATCGAGGGGCCAAGGCAGCCGCAGATTGACTGCCAGGACAATGGGGACAAGACCTGCCGTGTGACCTATGTCCCGCCTGTACCAGGCACCTACAAACTCAACGTTCTTTACAATGGCGAAGAGCACGTTCAGGGCAGTCCATTCTTGGTACAGGCCTACCCTGTGGGCAAGCCGGACCTCAACACAGACAAGATTACCGCCTACGGGCCGGGATTGAATCCAGATGGTTAGTTTTTTGACTGCGCACGATCACAACCTCTTTGGCACGCCTGCAGCATGCTAACGTCGTCGGTCATGGCATATGATACAGTTTTTGTTGCTCACTGTTGCTCGACTGTCATATCATTTCTTGTTTTTTTGTCCTCTTGTTGGATTAGAAGCTTGCTACCAAAACAGGCTTACACAGTGCATGCTAATTTACTGCCTAATTAAGTGACTGGAGTTGTCACTGTCCTTCCACTGAAGTGGTTTTTCTGTTAGTTCGCTCCATAGTACCACGATTTTTTCTTCTTTCTTTTGTTAAGCTGGTTTTTAGGTTGTTGAAGAGACTGCATGTCCTTGCACTCATTGATAATCTATATTTGCTTCCTCTAAAATATGCCCACTTTTACTTGCTTCGAATATGTGTAGGCGTCTACATGAATTGCATTTCGAAGTTTGTGGTTGACGCCACTGCGATGGACAAGGTGGGATCCGAGGAGGTCACTGCTACCTTGAAGGCTCCGGACGGCCGCACCTACACCTGCGACGTAACCAACAGACACGATGGAACCTACCTGTGCACCTACGTTGGAAAGATGGAGGGTATGTTGACCCTATTGCCGCCTTCTGTGTGCATCTGATGCTGGAAGCAGTGAGCAAGGCGTTGTGTTTCGACTAGTTTTACGTTTCTGTTTTGATGCGTATCTGCTCGTCATTCTCTTGCCTTTCCTCTGGGTATTCATTCTTGATCTTCTTTCTAATGAGCCCTCCAAAATATCAGGCACTTCTACCAACTGTGGTCCTAGCTCTTACGTCTTCTCAACTTTATGCGTGCTACTCTAGACCGTACTTCTCTAGTGTCACACGAACCCCATCAACTTAAGCTTCTTAGGGCTTTGTTCATCGCAAATGTGGCATGAGTTTGGGTGCAAATGACCAGTTGCCTACGTGCTTTTTGACCATATTCATATCCCAAACGAAGAGCCCCAGTTAAAGGTCTGGACTGCTGTACAAGAATTCTAGCCTACCGGCAGGCGACACTGCAGGGAGGGCTGCCAATGAAGGCTTACACGTTTAATTGTCTGCTGGAAACTGGGTGACAGAACGCCACAGTCTAGGACTCGATGACATTTGTAATGACTTTCGGTTATTTATAATTAAGCCTCTCTGTCCGATCTTGTGGCTATTCGTGCGCGCAGTGGCTAAAGCTAACTTACTTTCGTTGACAGATGGTTTGTTATGTCTCCAGTTGAGACTATCTTCCTACCCCGAGATCCACATGGCAGTTGGAAGTGACAATTTAGAACAAAATACCAGAAATTACTACCGTAACTTGCTGGCAGTTTGGGCACTAATCACTCTTAAACAGGAATCGCTGAGCTTGGTTTCAGACAATAAGTTTTTGATAGGTATGTATCACTATAAAAGTACCTTTATATAATGCTATGTGTTCCCTCGTTTTCAGGTTCACACAAGATAGACGTTGCTTACGGTGGCGTACCTATTCCAAGCAGTCCATTTACGGTCAATATGGTGCCCGGGTTTGATGCCTCCCGAGTGCGCGCCTTTGGACCCGGCCTGGAGCCCTCGGGCCCACATCTTATGCCCGATGTGACCACCTCCTTCACCGTGGACATGAGCAATGCCGGCCAAGGTGGTCTTGGTCTCTCCATTGAGGGGCCTGCGGACGCCAGCATCAATTGCGTTGACAATCAGGACGGGACGTGCACAGTTGAGTACACGCCAAAGTTGGCTGGTGTCTATGATATCAAGCTAACCTACAATGAGGTCGAAATTCCCTGTAAGTCCACGGTCGGTATTCCATACGCTCTTGCCCAATTTGCATGTGGCCGCAAAATCAGGACTGAAGCGGTAAAAAACGCATGAAGCCTGAAAACTAAAACCATATCTTAACATCCCCTCTCTCGCTTACCATGGTCGGACTAGGCTTAAAACAGACAAAACAAGCAGTCTATCCTTGTTGAAGTACTTTCGGTTGGGTAGTAGTAACTTTATAGACGTCAAACATTTACACCTCATGGACTTTTCGCAGTCTGTCTCACTCTCTCCTTATCTGCGATTTCTTTACTTGGCAATTCGGAATACGAAGATTTTGTTTCCTATCGGTAACTGATCCAACTGTAGGTAATCGTATGCTGTCATGCTTCAAAGGGCCTATCTTGCAATATTTATGAGTCTGCCAGATTGGCTTAATTTAGTTGACCCAATTGTGAGGAAATTCGTGGCATTCGGCGGGATTTGAACCCGCATAATAGGGAAGGCCTTTCGTGAAGCCAATTCTCTACCAGTTGAGCTACAAATGCCACGCCTAGCACCGTGAGTTTAACCACACTTGGATCGATTTTACCCGCTCAACTTTATCGTTCGTATGG